TCCCCCCCCTAAAAAAAAAAGAAAAAAAAACCACAAAAAACTTTTTGGAATTCTTTTTGCTCCTAATAAACAATGCAATTTACAGCTCATCACTGCTCTCTGTTAACGCTACTGCTGTTACTGCTTATAATAGGTTGTGTTTAATCTGTCTAAACAACCGGTAAAACCGGTCAACACTATTGCTCCTTCTTCTTTTCCGTTATCTGTTCACTTCATCAAACATCGACTCATTCTTACTTCAATTGTTGTTGCTTTTTCTGCAGTTTCTTTAACTTTGTTCACAGCGTCGTCCACTTGACTGTTATCAGCATTAACCACCAAAACTGTTGCTAAAGTGAACACAGTCAACAATGCAAAAAGCTTCCACATTTCTGAAACAGAAAACATTACCATATGGACAACAACTGGGGAATAAAAAATCTGCAAACATGCGATAATATTTACAGTTATAATCATCACCGAACAACGAATAACATAAAAAATGCGAAGAAGTTGCTATTTTTTATGACTGAAAAAAATGTAGGGAAATATACTTGAAGAAAAAGTTAGTAACACTGCTACAAACACTAATTGTGCCAAACTTAACACTTAACACACAAAAAAAAGTTGTTTTTTCTAGTTGAAATCAAAACTACTGGAAAAGTGCCACAGATGGAAAAATAGTTTAAAATGGATAAAAAAAAACATTTTTTCTTGACTTTCCTTCTTTGCTCCTTCTTTTTTTGTTCTCATTGTTGTCGTTGTTGTCTATTTGCAACAAAATAGATATTTTTGCATTCAGAAGACATGGAAGAAGAAATAACGGCACTAAGAAATAACCAAAGTATTAGTTATTGGTATTACTGTTATTATAATATCATTGATAATAATAATAATAATAATAATAATAATAATAATAATAATGTCTTTGTGGTTGATGAAGATGATAATGATAATGATGACAATGGTGGTGGAGCGGCTTTCCAAATCGCCTTTCTCCTTTTCAGCCTTCTGTCTTATCCTCCTCTCCCTTCTTGTCTTTTCCTTCCTTCTACTGCTTTCTCCTTTGATTTGCTGAAGCGAAGGGAAAAGCACTATTCAAATGCTTTTTTTCTAATGAGCATATTTAATGAAATATGACGGCGGCAGAAAAAAAAAAAAAGAAAAACAAAATAAACCAAAAATAGAAAATAATCTCCAAGGGAAGCTTTTTACGCTCCTTTTTTTTCTTCTCGCAGTTTTTTCTTCCTTCTTCTTCCAAAGAATATGTTCAGTGACAACAAAGACACAGCCAATTTGTAAACCAATAAAAAAAATCCATTTTTACAAATTTTAAAGTTCCTTTTACAGAAAAAAAGTTGCCTTAATTTTTCTGGGATGGATAGCAGCAAAAAGAAATTTTTCTACTTGCATAAAAAACAAAGAGAATAAGTGATCAAAAAAGTTCCACTTTCTTTCTGACTTTCTAAAACTAAACGTCAGTAAGGAATGTATATGTTTCACCGTTAACGACCAATGTGACACCTACCTGAAAATAATACTGTTGAAGGGCTAAGTGAAGAAACTTGATGATATTCAGGTAGTAGTGTAAAGGAAAACGTTCAACTCTTAATGACTGTGCCATATTTTATTTACTTCGATTTAGTTCAACTTTTCTCGTTGATTTTTTCTTCCTTCTTCTTGTTCTCTTTTAAATATTGTTCAGATTAAACAAATTAATTAAACATCTGCACCTGTTTAGCCCAAACTCCACCATTTAGTTCTGAATGAAACTTACCAAAATTAACGGTTCGAAGATTATTAGCCTTTGCTCTCCAAAAACCTATTCAAACACCGCCCAGAACATAGTGGTTACTTCATCACCCTTTAGTGCTATTGGAACAGATGAGATCGTGTCAGGAAAACTTGAAGAACGGTTACCAACTGTTGCACTGTATCATATTTCGGCTGAACCTCTTTTTTCCCTCGTTATAATGACAAATTTAAGCAGTTTTAACATCTGCATGAGTATTATGAACCACGGGGTTGTGAAAAGCAAGGACCCAGTCCCAGTGGTTCTCAAATCAACTTAACTGTGGCGTAAACAGAAAAAGACAATAATTGCCGGGATCATGTCATTCATTCTTCGTAGCGTCTGGAAAATCGACAGAATAAAATTCCGTCTTTTCTGTCAGAAAATTTCAGAAAAAAAAATGATGACAACAACTGTGAAACAAATACTTAAATTTATACTTATGTACGCCACTGTTCTTGCAAATAACAACATGTTTCTGGTTTCAACAGATGAGCCAAATTTTTGCTTTGTTCTGAACTGAATCGCTGCAAAATAAGAGAAAAAATAGAAAATAAGAAAAGAAATTGGTTTCTTGAGAGGATATAAGAATGTAAAGATTGATTTATAGATTTTAGCTGTAAATGTAAAATTTGTTTTTACCATCATCTTCTTCACAATTTTTTCTTGGAAAAAGAGGAAGCCTATTTTGTTTCAAGAAGATAAATTTGTTTTTTCCTGCCATCATTGCTGTTGATGATGCCGTTGTTATATGTTTGACAACAACACACGCTGGCAAACAACAATTTATTAAAAAAAAAATAATTATTTCTGATTATTTTCATAAAAAATTGGAGGCTACCTTCTTTTTTTTTTTTTTTTTTTGAAATGGAAAAAGATGGTAAGTTGGGAAGGAGAAAGAAAACGGTGGAAAAAAAAGGGAGGGACAGCAGTAACAATTTGGAGGGAGAAGAAATGGAAAGATTTGGAGGAAGCATTTGTCCGAACACCGTTTAATGCCTTCAT